CGCAAATGGGAACCGATGACATGTGTCAACCACCTCTGCGAGACTGACCACCCGATCCCGTTAGTCGCCTCTTACGACAAGCATAGTCGCCTTTTATGGCAAGCACATGGGTTGCTAAAGACCTATTCTACCCCGGATCTTCACGGGTCTCCTGCTCAGTGATTACAGTCGGTTTATGAATCAAATTTAACGAGTGTATGTGTTTGGGAGATGTACTCATGGCTGCATATGGGCATGCGTAGTGGTCATTTTATGAAGTTACGTAGATCTGGCGGTGGAGAGTAGGTGGATGGGGAACGGCAGACCTGGCAGCATCTGAAACTACACTGATTCAGGCTACAAAATGTGTAGTGTCCCCTCAGGTATGTGGCTTAGAGGAGGGTACATATGTTTATGAAACAGTTTATGAATCGATGTACATACCCGGCAATCCACACTAAAACCCTCAATAACAACGATACTAATGTCGCTTCATAAGGACAAGTTTGGAGTGAGTTAGCAATATTATCGGTTTGATGAGGGCATAAAGCCCGAAATGGTGCAGGTGTTAGACGTTCGGCACTTGTGAAGCCTTAGAATTCGGTAATGGAGTTCGGTCACTCTCCTACCCAGAGTTCCGTGCGGCAAGCCAGCATAGTACCTCTGCCACAGGCCAGAAAAATGTGACGATTTGTCACATCTTGCAATGTCCATTCAATATAATGTAGATTTCTTTTACACTTTTATTTTTGACGAGTCTACACATCTAATTAAACATCTTTAATAGAATTGTTTAGTTTCACTGAGAAAATATCCAAAAACGTGTAACACTATTTTGATTTGCGTAGCAATCCTTTGTTTACATAGGTTGTACGGCTCCACGTGCTGTCATCGAAGCTGATGGAGAGCAAACGATGCAGCCAGTTTGATATCTAAATATGTACTGTCATAGACCTGACTGTCGCAGTTGTGGAAGAATATATATGTAACAATGTAAAACGTTATGAAGAGAGCGCCGAAGCTTTCGTGAGTCCAGTTTCTTCTAATTATGAATAGGCGCGTTTGTTTACAAGTAAGTGAAAAGTTCGGTCACGTGATATGCAAATTAGCCTGTGGCAGTGATGTTATGTTAGTCATCGCTGTGCCGGAGTGTGGGAGTTCGGTGTGGAGCGACTAAGGTAGACAACTCTTCAGGGCAAATTGTGAAGCCAGGTTGAGTGCGTTTTAGTAACCCACAATGCAATATTGTTTATTGTTTTCCGTGTAGTAAACTTAATGTCTTCCAAATAAACATAAGCATTATTCTACTTTCTATTAAAGACTGAAAATCGCAATACTGGCCTGGTCAGATAGAAAGTTGATAAGAATAAGAGCTGAAACATGGCCATTGTACGTGCGAATCAGGGTTGTTGAGAAGAGAGAAATGCGAGTCTCAGTCTTCTAATTATTATCATATTTTCGATTCAGGATATGATAACCTTATTTTTTAATTTTTTGCCTTAGGGTAATTAAACGATAGTTCCCCCTTCTGTAACCCGAAAAGAGAAGCGATTCAATCAGAGAAAAGACACTCAACACATCTATCGAATGAATCGCTATGCTGACTTGATCTACCAGAGTCCTACATGTTCTCTGTAGGACAGGACCCGTGAAGATCCGGGTTAGAAACTTTATCTTCAGTAACCCATGCTTGTCATAAGAGGCGACTAACGGGATCGGGTGGTGACACATTTAATAACTGGGCAGATCGATGCTCATGATGTTGATCACTGGATTGTCTGGTCTAGATTGGATTATTTACAGACAGCCGCCATATCGCTGGAATATTGCTGAGTGCGGCGTCACAGCACGCTATACGTTTCGCGACCTACTATATACGAAAAGCGGGAGACTTCTATACTAGGGCTGGGACGGGTAGGAAAAATTGGAATCGAGTACCCGCATGTACTTACCCGAATCGGAATCGAGTGCCCGGAAATGTAAGGAATACATAGCTTCAGTCAACTTACTGAATATTCAATCACGATTTAACAGATATTATAACAGAAAACCTCAAAGGATGGCAATGAGACGTTGAAACTGATCTTAGGCTATATAATTTACGTCTGTTTATAACTAATATAAAGAGTAACACCATTACTTACATTGTTACTTAAAACACAGAACATTTGATAAAACACAAAACTTTTCATTCCCGCTGTTACTGTGATTTGACTACTCACTGCTAATGGGCAGATAAATTACCGTCGTTGATAATAACCGCCATTAACTGAACAATGTCAAAAATGTGTGTTACGTTAATAATGAAAAAGACCAGTTATTCATTCAGCCAGTAGACAACTACGTTCATGTGTGATATTCTAACTGAACCTATAATGTTTTACATGCAGACTTTATGTAAACGTGCATAGAATACAATTTGATTGATGTATTTACTGGCTGGAGAATTCTGTACGAGATATACAGACAGGCAAACTGTAATGCAACTGAGTTAAGCAATATAGCAAAATGCTTGGCTCGCATCTGGGAAGACTGGTCCTTTTGCTCTGTTGCTCAACTCAGTTGCATTACAGTTTCCCTATAAAATGAAAAACAAAACTATTGTTAAATCGATATTCTAAAATTGTATCTATCTTCGTTGGAATAACTGTATGCTGATTATTATTTGTTAAACTATAAAATGTCCATGTCACGTGAGTTCTGTTTCTATTTCTGATCATCTTTCTTCTTATTGTAATGATAACCAGTCGAACATTGTATTTGCAAATCGGAATGTTAATTCCTTAGTTTTAACAGAGACCACATACCGATATATCGGTATATGGTCTCTGGTTTTAATTGATATTCCCAACACATACAGTCATTTAATTGCAATCTCTTTAATAGTCAATGTATTCATGTTAAACGCAAATGTAAAAGCTGTGTTTCATGAAATTGAAATAAAATAGAAACTAAAGACAAAATTCAATGTACATGTAGTCTTAAAAGCTGGATAAGCAATGAACACAAATACACAATGTAATGAACACGTTTATTGTTTAGGTTGTGCTTTAGTGCAAGATGTTTTTGCATTGACCTTTTACAGCTTCCGATGTAGATTGACATATTAGATTGAAAAACCGTATGGGTCTTCAAATTTGTAACTGTGTTAAATTATGAGATTAAGTATATCCTGATCTTGGCGTGTCAGCTTCATAAGGGATGAAGCCCAGGAGTAGCACAAGTCCCACACCTTCACTTCAGTAGAATTCACCAGCAGGGTCTAACACTGATAAATCTCAAAACCATAAGCAGACTGTACTATCAATTTCAGACATGATACCACAGAGTCGGCATTTGGTTTTCTTGCCATTTGCATCAAGCTCAAAATGAGCCCAAACACTCAACTTAGCATGGATGTCGTCCATACTGCTCTAGGTTAGAGTTACCTGCCCTTGTCATTACTGAGTTCTCTCCCTTTCCGGGTACTCGATTCTTTGAAATAGGACTCGATTCCAGCTGTACCCGACCCGGATTCGATTACCCGAGTATCCGTCCCAGCCCTATTCTATACAATTATCATCTCTGAAAATAAACACTAAATATACAACCTGTGCTATAATCTTTGGTATACATTGACAAAAAAATATATTCTATCGTAAGAGTGGTGAAGCCAGTGGTTAAAGTGTTCGTTTGTCACGTCGAAGGTCCGGATTTAATCCACAAACGGCCGGGTACAGTATGTCCACTGGTGGTGTCACTCGATATTGCTGAAATACTGCGTAAAACCCAACTCACTCACTCATTCAATTCTCAAGTCATGAACGTGGCACAGTTACTAACAGCAAATCAGTAGGTAGGTAGGTAAGGTTTTAGGGCGACCTTGGGCCTTAAAAGGCTTATATGTGTCCAACACTTAACAATCTGTTATATTATTGTTCAGTTAAATTACGTCGTACTTACCCGTATTAAAGAGGAAGTCTAATACAGCTTTGTATGCAACCATACATTAAACTATCGCCAAGTATTGCGTTCATTGAAAAAGTATTTTTGGTTTTGTTAAGCACAGTTTCTTAAAGAGTCTTACGTGGGTTTTCATGAGCTGGACATTCAATGAGGTAGTGCTGAACTGTTTCTGGGCAGAGGAGATAGGTCTTTATCTAAAATACTTCTATATGCCTTTAATCTACAATGTCCCAGCCTGAGCCGAGTTAAAACAACTTTATCTCAACGACAACGCCGACGAATTTTAAAATATTTGTTTACTACAGGACAAGTAGACTACATGTGTCTACCTCTAGTTTCATTATCTCATTTATTTTGCCAAGATGTAGTTATTGAAGATGAAATGACAAAACAGTAATATCTTGGAATGGGCTTAATTGATTGAATATCTGGCTGTGGTCTGTTGCAAGCCATCTTAGCAAGTGTGTCAACTACTTCGTTTCCAGCTACACCAACATGTGCAGCAATCCAAACAATATCACAGCTGATGTACATGGAGTTTAAAACAGTATCAAGATACAAGATGTCGTATAGTATGTCACTGCGTGGACCTTGTACACCTGATTGAATTGCTTGTATAGCTGTCAACGAATCAGTAAAAACTATTGCTTCGTGTTCATTATATTTTACCGATTTTAAAGCTTGAAGTATGGCTGTCAATTCTGCTGCATATACAGACAGATGATCAGTCAATCTAAATTTTTTGGATAAACCAAGATCGGGACAGCAAATCAGTACAATGGCACAAAGTTATCTCCCTTTGGAAATCACATCTGTTACCCTTGACCCAGTCTCAACTGTTTGGGTGTTGTATTGCACAAACAGCAATAAAACGTAATGAAATTTAATGGCACAGTGGCCATACTGCTAATTTAAGTATTTGATGGCAGGGACACACGTCGATCGGTAACACATGTCATGGCAAAAACTAGACATTTTATTGTAATGAAATATAAAAATTTCTCTGGCTGTGAGTTTTAATTAAATAGGAAATTAATTCACCTGGTATTGAGTCACGTGACATGAGACGAGTGACGATAACGGTTTCAGTCGCTCGGGTATAAAGGGAGGTAGACGTGCAGACATTGATCAACTCGGATTGATCTCAATACCTCCACAATGGAGAACATGATCGGAGACTGGACATTGGTGCCTGAACTGACCACTGGCCATGATGATTTCGCTGAAGCTATGGGTAGGTTTCCATGCTTGCATTGTTTATGAGGTAAACGTCCAGGACGAGTCAACTGATTTCTGACAGTTCAACGAAAAATAGGTATATTAAACATATCTTTGTATATTCAAGCTCAATAATTTCATGAGATCCTCGCACTGTTGGATTCTGCTTTCGGACTTGTCATTTGATTTACACATATGAGTGTTGAACCGTTGAACCACAAATGAAATATCTGTTTGAAAGCGAATCTTAAACAGACCTAAGTCTATGCTATTTCGAACGATGATTTGGTATGATATAGACAGAATATTTGCCAAGTGTGTTTCCGGTACCGTAAATAGCACATAACAAAGAAAAGACACTATAACACTGCCTTTGTATTTTGATTATTTAAATACAAGGGTAACAGTCATATATACGTCATGTTATTCTGAATATAATCGATGTTAATGCCGTATTCTAATAACAATAGTAATAATATCCATGGTTCTGCAAAGGTCGCACAATACTCCTTACCAGAAAGGAGACTTGACTGATCCCAAAAGCTTCCGCCCTGTCACATGTGAAATACTCAATATAAAATATTCACAGGGTGTTTGACAAACCTTGTGTCATCTTACTGCTTTTCTAGTGACATAATTTATAAAGAGCAGAAGGGAGCAAGGAAGGGATGTTGGGAGTGCAAGGATCTTCTTGTACAAAAAAACCTATTTTGGAAGAGCTAAAACATATCACCGCAACCTCTCCATGTGCTGGATTGATCAAGCTTGAGCAAGCTGAAACTGCATCAATATTTGAAGCTTACGAACATTTGCATACTTATCAGGAAAACGCGTTTTGTGGTCAAGCATGGCGGAGTAATGCCCCCTTGTCTTTATACGTGCATGGCCTCGCTGTGGTAGTTTGGACCCATGAAGATCCTGGTTAGAACTGATCTTCAGTAACCCATATTATTCATAAGAGGCGACATGGCTGACACATGTCATCGTATCCCATTTGAGATGATCAATGCTCATGATATAAGACGAGTATATGGATGGTGACTGCCCAACTGAAGAAGGGGTAAGAAGCAGCCCAGAAACGTCGTGTTATACAATAAAGAAGAAGTTGCCATCCATATCCTCGTCTTATATATTCACCAACTTCTAAATGCCTCCCATGATGTTTATCAGTGGATTGTCTGGTTCAGACTCAAATATATGTACAGGCCGCCTTTATATAGCTTGAATAATGCTGAACAACAAACATACAAAATGCAATGCATAAAACATCATTTTATTTATCTGGGAAATATGCCCTCTCCCATGGGAATCTGTTTGTCAGCAATAAAACGACGATTATGTATGTTTTCAACAACGTATATCACCACCGTCAGCATCAATGTTTCTGTGTTATATGAAGCAGGACTATTTGGTTAATCAAGTGTCTCCACCACCAACGTCAGCATCAATGTTTTTGTGTTATATGAAGCAGGACTATTTGGTTAATCAAGTGTCTCCACTACCACCGTCAGCATCAATGTTTTGTGTTATATGAAGCATGACTATTTGGTTAATCAAGTGTCTCCACCACCAACGTCAGCATCAATGTTTTTGTGTTATATGAAGCAGGACTATTTGGTTAATCAAGTGTCTCCACTACCACCGTCAGCATCAATGTTTCTGTGTTATATGAAGCATGACTATTTGGTTAATCAAGTGTCTCCACCACCAACGTCAGCATCAATGTTTTTGTGTTATATGAAGCAGGACTATTTGGTTAATCAAGTGTCTCCACTACCACCGTCAGCATCAATGTTTCTGTGTTATATGAAGCATGACTATTTGGTTAATCAAGTGTCTCCATCACCAACGTCAGCATCAATGTTTTGTGTTATATGAAGCATGACTATTTGGTTAATCAAGTGTCTCCACCACCAACGTCAGCATCAATGTTTTTGTGTTATATGAAGCATGACTATTTCGTTAATCAAGTGTCTTCCCATCTCTGTGCTAGGTATGACTGACGAAGAAAGTGAGATGACCCGCAACTTCGACTACAGCTTCCATCTTTCACGTGACGTAGGCGAGTGGCACATAAAAGTCTGCCATGGCCAGATGGGAACATTGGTTGACACGAAGTTCCAACCAAACGTGCCCTTCACCTACATGTTGCCGGATCAGGTTACCAAGCTTACGGTAGGTGGCGTCTTTATTTTTCTGTGTATGTTATAGGAACAGTTGAAACACTTGGCTGTTACTGCTTGACTTGAAGCACACACATCCCACTAGCGTTTGGGGGCGGTGGGGTAGCCTCTTAGTTAAAGCGTTCGCTCGTCATGCCTAAGACCCGGGTTCGATTCCCCACATGGGTACAATATGTGAAGCTCATTTCTGGTGTTCCCCGCAATGACATTGCTTGACTTTTGCTAAATGCGACGTAAAACTAAACTCGCTCAGTCACTAGCGTTTGAGATGTCTTAGCGTCTAAACGTAATTCGTGGTGATGGATAGCAGCAATGAACTTCACAGTGAACCTGTTTAGAGAATCGAACTATGTGACGAGTGAAAGCTTACAGAAATAATACCCCACTACCCAGCTACCATACTACCTCACTCCCCATAAATCAAAGCTTTCGAATAGGGCAAGTTCACTTGCATTTTTTAAATTGTTTTGATTTACAACGGGGATGTCTTGTGTTACGTTCGCGTGCTTTTGTTAAGTGGACACATGACTTGAGTTTGCATGTGTTTGTGACAAGAGCCACGAGTGGGGCTAATATGCTCAACTGTTCGCGACCACCTAACTGATGGTGATTCACGGACACACGTTGCCTAAGTTACAAACGGACGCTTCTTTCAGTTGATATTTGTGATGAAAATATTTTTTGTCATTTTTAAGTACAGAATCTCAAAACGAGGCTCGGCCGCTAGAAAAGTTTGGCCGTCTTGTACGGCCTTGATATTATAAATCACATTGTACGTTACAAAAATACAGTTAATAAGCGCAAAGAACACATAACAGACCAGTGAGCCTGATGAATTGTGAATCATTTACGACCTCATCAAACAGGGGCACTCCGTGACGTCAGTTCACGTCATGCGGCCTTAACCTTGCCATAAAATATAGAAATACGATTTATTTAAAGTTTAAAAGTAAAATTCATTGGTAAAAACCATTTTCTTATGAAACAAGGAATTGAAATTTCGTCTAACCATAGTGGTTTGTAGCGCCTCTTTTCACTTTCACACGAGAAAAGTCGGATCGACTGAAAAATAGGTCATTGTCTGAACTGGTTCATGCGACTCATGTTTCAGTTTGTTGTACTTCCGTCCCATACCGATGTGTGAAGCCCATTACTGGTGTCCCCAGGCGCGATATCCTGAAATATTGTTAATAACTGCGTAAAACTAAACTCGCTCACTCACTCACTCACTGCCGCGATATTCTTAAATATTGTTAAAAGCTGCGTAAAACTAAACTCACTCACTCACTTACTTACTTCTGACTCACACACTCACTTCACTCACTAGCATATTTAAGCGATATGATACCTATCATGAACAGCTAATCATGAACGAGAGGTCAGTGGTTACACATATAGATAGATAGATAGATAGATATACAAACGGATGGCTCCTAATGTGTATGTAACCTGCTCCAGGATGTTGTTACGGAACAGAACGGTCATCTCATTGAGAAGATGACGTCAGACCAGGGCGGTGTCATCACCCAATGGGATGTCGACACGTATCGAGACGGAGACTTCCTCGTCATGGTAAGTCAGCTGTCAGTCTGTTCAGACTGTCCGGTCATTCAAGGCGAAACAATCTGCTATGATGGGCTGAGTCCCTTAGGCACGTCAGGAACCTATGTTTGTGGGTTCGAACCCCCGGTTCATTACGATTACGGCTCTAGATTTTCAGGTCCACACCCATGCCCTAAGTCTTCACCAAAGTGGTAAACGTTTTAGACCAGCATTACTTCTGGCATTCCGCCCACATTCATGACGCCGCCATATCACTGGAACATTGGTCAAACGGCGTGAAGATCAGTAGCCACGGTCTAGGCATTTGGAGTATATATTATCCCCCTGCCTTCGTTGGTGATTCCTGCAAATCTCTATAGTCTGCGTTTGTCATAGGAAGAAAAGACCCATGAAGATCCGGGTTATAATTGATCTTCAGTAACCCATGCTTCATGATGCTTGTCGTAAAAGGCGACTAACGGGACCGGGTGGTAAGTCTCGCTGACTTGGTTGACACATATCATCGTATCCCAGTTGCGTAGATGGATTTTCATGCTGTTGATCACTGGATTGTCTGGTCAGACGCGATTATTTACAGACCGCCGCCATATAGCTGGAATGTTGCTGAGGTGGCGTAAAACTAAACTCACTCACTCATAGGGAGAAACAAGGGACGACCTACGATGGCGATACATAAATGGTTTGTTTGAATACAAACGACAGATAGTAGAACGATGTTCGCCATATCGGCCACATGTTTATGCTGATTAATGCTTAAGAACATTAATGGTCTCTATGTTTTAAACTTGATACGTTTTTTTTCTACGAATGCACTCACTATTATCCCTTTGTTTGAAGGTTCAAACCAAGGACGGCAAGTCCAAGACACAAAAACTGAGACGACAGTGATGAAATCCATCGTCCCCTCCGTCACTACAAAATTGTTGATGCGACGTAAAACAGTTTTCACTCACTCACCCCTCCGTCACTAATCCCCACCTTGTGTACCGGAGACACAACGACGATTTGAAACCAATCATTTAATTTTGTGTTGACTAACATTTTCAATTTGTGTAGGTTATTTCTTAATTACAAGTATAACCAAAAACAATTTCTTCAGTGAATCCATATTGCGAATACAAAGCATTGTATATTATGTTGACAATCACTAGTCAATACCCACACTGCAATAATTACTGCACCAACATGGCACCTTGTTGTACCGGCATTAATGAAGGAATTCAACACAAAAGTAAAAGTAAAGAGACGTGATAAACATATTCAGTCGACATTAATAGATATTTCTACATTAGCTTGAGCATTCCAGTCACACCTTCGTAATTTCCCCATCATTTTCGTACCAACATAAATACAATTTATTATTGTAATTTTGGTTTAGAAATCGTCTTCTAAATACAGTTTTGTTCTAATTTTTGTTTATACAAATTTACAATTGTATCAAATGAAATCAATGACATACAGCAGGTCCTGTTTCGCGAAGCCAAGAACGACCTTTTTCTTTCTCTGAAGTGGGTACATAAAGGTAGTATATATCTTCGGGCGGCTCTGAAAAATGCGGATCTGAAATTTAACTGCATGAGCATGCACGGGTTTAACATATTTAATTGTCTGGAAGATTTGTTATGGACAATCTGTTTGCAGTTTATGTTATGTTTGCATTCCGAAAGCAGAGATGATGTACACAGATCATTTCGAATGAATGAACTAATGGATTAAGTCTCATGGTTCCTCGTTACATGATAATTATATATGTTATAGTAAATGTATAAAACCGGGCAGTTTGTAAATGGCCTGATTCACTCAGTTGACAAATTGCTTGAAAAATTAGTCGATTTATTTGACAGATTGACTTAAACATGTTTCAATGTGTATTATCGTTAACAGTGTATAAAAAAATAACATTTAGAGAAAAACTTAAGACATAGACACTCAAATGACTCAAGGGACATCTTTATTGACATTTAACAATATTTCAACATATATAAAAGCATTTGGTAATATTGTTTGCTCACAAACACTCAAGGTTAATCGTTATTTACATATATAATATTTCGACATATATATATTAAGCATTTGGTGATATTGTTTGCTCACAAACACTCAAGGTTAATCGTTATTTACATATATAATATTTCGACACATGTATAAGCATTGGGGGCATTATTTGCTCACATTTTGTTTGCACAAGTGAGGCTTTCGTAGCACCTGCTGTTGCAGTTGACGCCAGTTTTAAAGCATTTGCATTTGTTGGTTGCACACTGCTTTCACACTGCTTGCCACTTCTGAAACTGGACAAACTTCAGTCCAGTCGGCCAATCAGTGGAGTCATTGTCTCTTGACAAACCTCAGTCCAGTCAGCCAATCAGCGGAGTCATTGTCTCTTGACAAACCTCAGTCCAGTCAGCCAATCAGTGGAGTCATTGTCTCTTGACAAACCTCAATCCAGTCAGCCAATCAGTGGAGTCATTTGATCTAGCCGTGACAAACCTCAGTCCAGTCAGCCAATCAATTGACCTTCAGAGTCATTGTCTCTTGACAAACCTCAGTCCAGTCATTACAATCAGTCAGCCAATCAGTGGAGTCATTGTCTCTTGACAAACCTCAGTCCAGTCAGCCAATCAGTGGAGTCATTGTCTCTTGACAAACCTCAGTCCAGTCAGCCAATCAGTGGAGTCATTGTCTCTTGACAAACCTCAGTCCAGTCAGCCAATCAGTGGAGTCATTGTCTCTTGACAAACCTCAGTCCAGTCAGCCAATCAGTGGAGTCATTGTCTCTTGACAAACCTCAGTCCAGTCAGCCAATCAGTGGAGTCATTGTCTCTTGACAAACCTCAGCCCAGTCAGCCAATCAGTGGAGTCATTGTCTCTTGACAAACCTCAGTCCAGTCAGCCAATCAGTGGAGTCATTGTCTCTTGACAAACCTCAGTCCTCAGCCAATCCAGTGGAGTCATTGTAATGACAAACCTCAGTCCAGTCAGCCAATCGAGGTGAGTCATTGTCTCTTGACAAACCTCAGTCCAGTCAGGCCAATCAGTCATTGTCTCTTGACAAACCTCAGTCCAGTCAGCCAAAGTGGAGTCATTGTCTTGACAAACTCTACCTCCAGTCAGTCGGCCAATCAGTGGAGTCATTGTCTTGACAAACCTCTCAGCCCAGTCAGCCAATCAGTGGAGTCATTGTCTCTTGACAAACCTCAGTCCAGTCGGCCAATCAGTGGAGTCATTGTCTCTTGACAAACCTCAGTCCAGTCAGCCAATCAGTGGAGTCATTGTCTCTTGACAAAACTCAGTCCAGTCAGCCAATCAGTGGAGTCATTGTCTCTCATCCATACAACCAGCACGTCTATGATACCCGTCAGCATTGTATGCAGGTGTGAAATATACTGACACCACTTTCCATTCTTGTTTCGTGATCACGCTATGCTTTGGATATGATGTTTTCGAAGAAATAAAATAGCCATTTCTATATAAACCTTTGTGTTATTGTATCAGTCATGTACTTTGCTCGTTACTTTCAGTATTTCCAAGTAGCTGTGTGTATGTGCGTGCGTGCGTGCGTGACCCAGCTGACAGACACACACGCCAATGTGTAGTTACAACGCCACTTACAACGTTCACTGCTGGACCACACGCTGTCACCGGCCGGGTCGTACTCCGACTGTAACCACGAGATATAACTTTATTGACGATGTCAATCTTTATTAAAGGGGACATTTCTTAAATATGCGCTTCGCGGTTTTTCTCATTACTGTAAGTAATATTCCACATTCCAGAATATTACCATGGTTGAGAAACTTCAGACGAACCAATCAGTTTCCCATGCAGTTTCTTGTATGGCTAGGGGTGGTGGGCTACCCTAGTGGTTAAAGCGTTGGCTTGTCACTCCGAAGACCACTGTTCGATTCCCCACATGGTGACAATGTGTGAAGCCCATTTTTGGTGTCACCAGTCGTATTATTGCTGACATATCGCTAAAATTGGCGTAAAACCAAACTCACTCACTCACTTTTGTATGACTGTCTGTGCATCCTGGTGAGAGAAGTAACAATGGACATATGGTGACGTCAAATGACATACAATCAACCAAGTTACACTCTGTGTCCTCCAGATCCTCGGATGCCCCACGTAGGTGGAATTTGCGACACCTACCTCTGGGGTTCCCTGACGTGATATTGCTGGGCGATTACCCCGACAGGCGTTACCGCTACCCTCTCCTTGATTTAAAAGTTAATCTTCAGTATCAATGAGACGTGCACGTGTAGGAAAACTCTCGTAAAACCAGTCATTAGCTGCAATAACTCCACATGCAGTGTATTAGAAGATAATTAAAGGTAGCATAAGATTGGCATCGACATTATGATATATTGTACAAATTTCTTCCAACTGTAAGACAGGGATTATTTAATCATTCGATGATTATGTTGACAGTACGTTAACCCTAAGTCTTGGAGTCAACCAAGAATACATCGCTTTAACCTATTCGCAGTTGGAATCACTCGCACTGATCTGTAATGGGATGGTCTCGATAACAGTCACGGAGACATGGTGGCAGCGATGATTTACTCCTTAAGTTATTCTGGTTCATGAATATATTCATACTGATTTTGTTTCTGTTATGGAATGGGTCACTAGTGGTCCAGCTCACACCGCACTTGGCAATAATGAGTTGCTTCCTTACACGTGCTAGGAAACGAACGATCGCAAGTCGGAATCCCAGATTTCACCTCATGGTATTTCTTGATTTGTCAGCACCACAGGCAAATTGCAGCGCAAATAAGATTGCGCAACAAAGACAACATTACCAGTCTTCCAATATGCGAGCGAAGCGAGCAAAGGTTGGCGACGTGCTTCCCTCGCTTCGGTTCGAAAAATATTTTTAATGTCAAAATAAAATATTGCCATCATCAAATGTAGACACCCATGTCCTTACAGAGTTGTGCTCTCAGATTTCCAACCTCATATTTAATAATTACTCACGTAAAATATATTTAATTCAAAATTTTAAGCGCAAATTGTGGCATGTCAAATCGTTCGTCGCCTCCATTACCCCTGCCAGCTTCCGCTGGTTATTTTCTCTTCGATGCGAAGCCCTATTTGCGCTACATTTGGCCTGTGGTCAGCACTAAAACTCTCCGCTCTGACATCTGGTATGTACGTAAACTGCCGGAATAAAGCGAGAATGCGTCCATGTTTGATGGAGTCTAAATGATTGGGTTCGGGTATCGTAGCCGTATTGGAAAGACCTCCGTCCGTATCCCCCCTTAAATTTCCTTCAAATCATATCAACAGAATCTAATATATATTCCTCATCTGATAAGGATTAGTTTTAACATTTTTTTAATTGTATCTGAACATACTGAAACACATATTCAACTTCTAAAAATGTCACTCAAAGAAATGTTTCCTGGTCGTTAAAATGTAAGGTAGATACGGGCGGAAGTCTTACCGCCGTATTTGTTTAACATAATTTTGTAGTGTTGCAGCGACTCTTCCAGCCTAGTAATGGTTTGATTGTGTTTGAAATATTCTGGTCACATTAATTTTTCAAGGTAGTAATGTTTTAGACCGATCAGGTAAAGGGCAAGAGATTCGTTCCTCTATCACCTAGTTCGATTCGATTGTTGATTCAGTAAAGACTTTGGCTATATGCCCCTCGTCATCATTTTACACTGTATACATGATAGAATATGGTTATCCACTGAAATAAACATATTTGTTACATTTACGAAAGGAGGCTGGATAACCATTTCGGTACTTACATGCATAACTTTATGTATTTACATAATTTTGAAATACTATCTTTAGATGGGTTTGTTAATAATTCCAAAAAATTCAACATACCTAATAGAGTTTGATGGTGTTAGCGTGTAACATATGGCGACTGTAAGAAACGGTGGAATACCACACGAACAAGGCGAGACAGGAACATGTTTAATGATTGTTATATGACAACATAATTATATACAACATAAAGGTAAAATACTTAGTGTGAGAGAAAAAGGTTGTTTTTTATGCGTCATGTCACATCTGCGTAGATACAAATATTTTGATACATAACATAACTTCCACTAACAAAGTAGTGAGTGAGTGCGTGAGTGAGTTTAATTTAACGCCGCTTTTAGCAATATTCCGTCAATATCACGGCGGGGGACACCAGAAATTGGCTTCACACATTGTATCCATGTGGGGAATCGAACCTGGGTCTTCGGCGAGACGAGCGGAAGCTTTAACCACAGGGCTCTAGTAACACGCTCAGACAATACAGGTGAAAATACTGTTCGTATTCTGTACAAAACACTTTTATAGGTAATATACCGAGTTCAAATAATGTGTATGGATTAAATCATTATTTTCGTTGATAGTAAGATGTGTATATTTCCTGACTTAAACATTTGTTTAAATCAGTTTGACTTGTAAAGGTGTTATTTATCAACATACAATACTTAAAAAGTGCATATCTTAAATCTTCATAAAAACACGATATTTAAAAATGCAACTCGATTAACTTCCATAATACTTTCATTATGTATACTGCTTAAAATATTGTGGATAAATTCTGTCAAGAACATGGGTTCTTGGCTTGTTAAAACGTCTAGTTGCTACGGCAATGGGTAAAATTCCACATGTAAAGTAAACAAAGCTAAAATTTACATTCTTAACATACATTTACAACTTCCGGACAAAATATAATAAGTTTTAATCAAATGAAACAAAGTCACCAGCTGCAATAGTTATGCTTAAGTCCAATTACACCCTGGCATCAGTAAAACAGGCAAGGTATGAGGTGATGTGTCATGATATCACAAAGTTCCTGCTAGGTGATATATTTACCTATTGCCTGGATCGTGTTATCAAGTTTATCTAAGAAACTAGAACACTGAAGAAGGAAATGACAGTTATCAGAAGAAGGGAACTATAACTGTACTGAAATGAATGTGCACCCGTTGTAGGAGGTGTAGCATCAAGTTTAGTCGTTGTACGTGTAGTAGCAGACGTAGTTGCAGGTGCAGTGGAAGGGGTAGTAGACGGTGTAGTAGACGGTGTAGTTGCAGGTGCAGTGGAAGGTGTAGTTGCTGGTGTAGTAGACGGTGTAGTTGCAGGTGCAGTGGAAGGTGTAGTTGCTGGTGTAGTAGACGGTGTAGCTGCAGGTGCAGTGGAAGGTGTAGTTGCTGGTGTAGTTTCTGGTGTAGTAGACGGTGCAGCAAGTATTTCGCAGTCGCAGGATTCAAAGTCCAAGAGAAACTCCAGAGTTTTGTCGTTAGAATTTTGAAGGAGATATCGTCGTCCATATTCCCACTCCGCCCCCTGGAAACAGGGGTGCTCCCTCGCAGCCTTGACAGCAGGGACGCACTCCTTGAGACAGTCTCCCGTAGCAAAACAGCTGCCAATGATGTTGATGAAGAGGGTGTCGAGTGGGTTTCCAACAGATTGGACGTACAAGCCGGCCCAGTCACAGGTGCTGTTGTTAGGCTTGGGGACCGTGACGGGGGCTGTGGGGGGTGCTGAAGAGGGCGCAGCGTCTTCACAATCACAAGACCGCAGCTTCATCAGAAACCTGACCGTAGTCTCATCAAGCCTTCTCGTCAGATACCCCCATATGTCACCCTGGAGACACCTGTGCTGCTTTGCAGTCTGAGTGGCGTTGTAACATGCCGGCGAACACTTCTGGAACAGGTTACAGCTTCTGTCTACGAGGCCAAAGAGCTCCAGTATTTGTGGGTCAGACATTACCGACCGCCACGGGCAACCTTCATACGTATCCTCCATGTAAAGTTGGCAATAAGGAATGCTCTTGTAGTTGGTGAAGAATAACCTCCTGGAGTTTTGTTGAGGGTAGTAGGTGATGAAGCTGTAGCACATCTCGTCGGACGTCGCGTCGCCAAATGTTGTTGTCGTCAACTTCTTGGTAGACGCGAACTCACACCGCGTCCTCAGCTCGTCTCCAGGTAGGATCTCAATAGGCTCACTAAATCTGCAGATAGGCATAAAGCATGAACAATTCACAACTTCGTGTATTTCATTTTCTTCCCAAATTGTTTCCATGAAATATGTCCAAATGAAAACAATGTGGTTCAGATTACAATTACAGTTTTAAAATTGATAGGTACTTTTGTGATCAAAAGCCGCTTCTATTTTGGAACACAACTTGAAAACATGAAACCTCAAGGTCACGTAATAACCATTTATCTGGACAGAGTGAGTGAGTGAGTGAGTTTAGTTTTACGCCGCACTCAGCATTATTCCAGCTTTATAGCGTCGGTCTGTAAATAATCGAGTCTGGACCAAACAATCCAGTGATCAACAACATAAGCATCGATTTGCACAATTGGGAACCGATGACATCTGTCATTCAAGTCAGCGAGCCTGACCTCCCAATCCCGTTAGTCTTATCTGGACAGAATCCACGGGGCTGAAAATAGGCGCTCCCACTGAAAATCAGTTATGAGACTGCACTAAATGGTATTCCCAGTCGTGCTCCCTAATATTCGTTATATTTATAATCCGCTTATATGGCGTTCATATCCAGGAACATTGCCTGCTCACGGCGCTGCGTACATTACTATCCCCGGTCATAGGACACTACTGTACTTTCCATACTTTTTCACCTATATATTTATCCCTAACAGTGTCTGTGTTTGTTTTGCGGCGTTCAAGATTTTCAACAAATGAAGATATTTGCATCATCGCATACAGAAAAGTCATTGAAAACATTCGATGTAGGTCTCAACTCTGTGTCAGTGAGCTCACCAGGAGAGGAAAGTCAAACGGATTGTGAAACTCGAGAGCTGCGGATCCTGCCACGCCTAAGGGACACAGCTGTGTGAATATAGTTGCAGATCCTTATATCAACCTGATATGTATTCTTTGCTCAATGCAAATCACGTTTGACGAATGTAAAGTTCTAAATTCACTTATTCAGCATTATATTAGCGCAATAAGTCAATATATTGTTGCGTAGAGACTTGATTAAGTCACAAACACGACCTCGTGACTAGAAGGGAATCGTTCTCATGTCCTGCTAAACTACACTGGAATTGTTTACTGGTAACCTAGTGACTGAATGTTTAGATTAGAATCAGAGAAAGAATGTGTTAAATTGGTCGATGAAAGGCAATCAAGCCATTGTTGTTCAAGTGGCACGACATGTGCATCAGGACTGACATATTCGAGAAGGATCGACATTAGTGTTCTCTTTAAAAGGCCGGAACACTAGACCCTTATCATTTCAGCTCTTACGACGTACAGAAGTCTGGAACATATACTTCCTTTCAAAACTTTAGACTCACTAGTGTACATATAGGGTTATCTCCCATTTGACAGACACCCATTTGACAGACACCCATTTGACAGACACTGAACTAGAAGATTAATTAGGGTAACACCTACGGGTATAATGGAACAGTCCACTGTCTAGTGAGTAGAGCAGGGTGAGCCTGAAACAGGTTCGTTACTGATTTGATTGATAGTAAATAAAACTTTGTTGTGATTAAATGATAAATGATTTCTCTTCTCAAAATTGTTTTTACTATCAATTACTATCGAATATAAAACAGGTTTGTCACTGAGAGGTTTGATTGTGTTTATTGATAGAAAGACCCCTCCCAATAATAGCATATGTACAACAGAAGTTAACTTAGAAAACGTTTTGTTGGAGAGATATAGATATGTACATATTTGAAAACATTCTGATTTGCAGTAAATGAGACACCTGCATTGCCATGTAAGATACGATTAATACAAATCAGTGTTCTAATTTTAACATAAGTTTCTAAAGATTGTAACAGTGTATGTCTTTGAGTAGTATACAATGGACATTCAAGGAAGTAATGAAAAACATTCTCACATCCATGGCCACATTGACATGGTGCGTCATATTTTGAATATTTATTCTAAGTACATCGTAATTAAGTGCACTCGTCATATATCTTAAAAACATATAACTTCTTCATTCCATCTGAATTATATCTAAGTTCACATTTGTCTTTATTTGATTTATATGATACAACAGTGTCGTAATTTCTAATAGCTGAACTAATGTTTTCAATATAACTCCGACTCCGACTCCCGTTAGACTGGAAGGTTAAACCCAAATGTTTATGGAAATAAACTGTTTTTATATTGCAGCAATAAAAATTATTTTCGTCCATCTTTCAAAATCAATAATATAGCTTCAGTTTGTTCCTGTGTTTTTATTTGGACTATTCCATTATAATGTGTAGGTAACAGGTAGTAGATAATCTGTTCACTAAACAATAAATGTTTTATTTTTAAGGTGTCTGCGAACTGGCTGTCTGCGTAATGGGAGGACATCACATATAGCCACTTAATTCAGACAACTGTTCTGAACTAGATTTTGCTATATTCCATGCTGTTTAAAGGTACTGTTTACACATGAACTGATGTATTGTAAAACAAATTCGTAACGTTGAAACGATTATTGTCATGAGGTCATTAAATGATAAAAATCAGTGAAAATTGTCGAATTCTTAACGAAACTTTACACCATAACGCAGCTGTTTACATACACGATATTTGCACATGACTTTCACCAATTTGATGCATGATCCACGTGAAATACATCTGCAGTTTTGCAGTGGTTCCCCCAAGTTAGTGGAGAAGTCAATCTTCGATGTAACCATATGTAGATACATATCATGAAGTGAGTGTTTTAAGTGAGACTAAACTTTTGAAGAGAAACATATATAACACCTGGGGGAAATGACAGATAGAGACCTGATTCGCTACAGCGCGACGTTAATACCTTACATCTCGAGGAGCCAGAAGACAAGCATTGTGTGTGATGATCGGAATACCCTACCAGGTAGACTTGTATGTTGGATCACTGTTGCTGTGGATATTGCCACCATTGTCTTTAGTGTTCTCATCACTGCTCTTATACTGCCTCACAATAGGTATAGCTAGTCTATACTCTACTGCCATGGTGATACCAATGCAGGAATTTGAACCCGTAATGATCCAGGTTAGAACTGATCTTCAGTAACCCATGCTTGTCGTAACAGGCGACTAACGGGATCGAGTGGTCAGACTCGCTGACTTAGTTGACACATGTCATCGTATCCCAATTGCGTAGATCAATGCTCATGCTGCTGATCACTGGATTGTCTGGTCCAGACTCGATTATTTACAAACCACCACCATATAGCTGGAATATTGCTGAGTGCGTCGTAAAACTAAACGCACTCACATTCACTCACTCACTCACTCTTTGTATTATCTTCGGATATATTCCCGGAGGAATTTAGAACTGGCTTTCTTTACTGTATGCAGCTAAACTTGCTTGTTAGAATAGGTAAATGTAATATTTGCCTACCATTGTACAGTTCGCTTGTCAGATATATTACTTACTTGTGAAATATTGGGTTGTCATAGTTGTATTGCGGGTCAGCTGCTACATCTCGGACTTTGACGCCATTCCTGTACAGCTCCAGAGACATTGATATACCTGTTGATTCACAAAGTATGTGAGTGCGTTGGTTAACCCAGCATCAACATTATAATCAGATATATTGTATATTTCACTAGTATAATCTTCTGTAACACACTTGCCCCAGACATTTTCAAGCTATCTTAAGTTTCATGGAAGTCTATTTGAGTTCAAGGAGGACATACTGGCTAGAGAGTGAGAGGTCAAGAGGCTATGGGGACATGGGGTGTCAAGGAAAGCCACAGTCACCAGCTGCAGCTACAGCCGCCGCCATTTCCTGAAGACAATGCACACTTCAAGGAACTCGTCAACTCTTTGCAGTGATAGTTCTCAAATGACGTAGTGAGTGAGTGAGTGAGAATGGTTTTACGGCGCTGTTAGCAATATTCTAGCAACATTACTACGGGTAGACCAGAAATGGGCTTCACACAGTGTTCTGATGTGGGTTATTGAACCTTGGTCTGACGAGCGAATGCATTAACCCCTAGGCTAGGCTGACTTTGCAAACACATGGTATCACAAGCGATGCTATTCTCCATACACGCATTGGAACCCGTCACATTACTATTCTACTGACTGTCATTGGTGGTGTTGGTGCTGTAAATGTGCTTATTATGATGATGATTATTATTATTACAATTAGCATTTAATCATCATTCATTATTAGCAGCATTAGCACCATAATTATGATCTTCAGTGTAACTATTATTATTATTACAACACATGGGGAGTAAAGGTAATACCTAGGTAATGCATGTGGTTCAGGGCTGCTGTTACGGTTATTGTCCCTCTGAAGGAACTGTTGGTACAGACGCCGGGGAGAGTAGCCAGGGTCTTCACACTGGTTTCTCCAGGTGGGATAAGCAGGCTCTCTTGACCAGTGGTCAGGATACCAGCATCGTAAGTACGCAGGTTCGGGGTGTAGTAGATCGTCATTCCTGATTGGTCGAAATAGTCAGTCCTCTTCTCGGGATTGTTCCAGTGCACCTTTGATAAGAGCGAATGGGTTAGAAATCATGTTCATTAACTGGGATCCAGCCTACCTACATGAAGAGAATGGATGACATTGAACACAGCATTCCAGCACGACATTGTGTGATACTCGGTTCTGATTGGCTGAGAGCTCATCAAAACCGTACTAAAATGGCAGTTTAAGGACCGCTAATTAAAGTGACCGATTGACCGCGTATGAATACAATGAACTTATTGACTCACAAGGAACGCGTTCGGTTTTTGAATTACCTTTAACGATCTTAAATCACCGATGAAGGACCGCAAAATTGAAAACAGTAGCTGTTGGTAAAGCCTCCGACTTCCATCACTTCCAGCTCTTCTACCGCATTGTCACACTCACTCACTCACTCACTCACTCACTCACTCACTCACTCACTCACTCACTCACTCACTCACTCACTCACTCACTCACTCACTCAATCGCTCAATCACTCAATCACGCACACACGCACACACGCACACACGCACACACGCACGCACACATTCACTCATGTAGTGTACGTGAATACAGAAGGTCATCCTTGTGACAGATGACCGTCACGGCAACTTACCTGAACAGCTAACTTCTTAAAGCCGTTCACCCCAAACCTGAATCCCACTGTCTCGTGTACACAATCACCAGAGCTGCCCAGTGTCCAGATGCTCACGACGGCTTTACAACTACCGCCAGGAAGCATACCGCAAACAAAGGGGACGGGAGTTGCAGCCTCGTCTGAAAGAGAAAAATCCGTCAAATATTCGTTATGTAGAACCACGGTAGTGGTATAGCAGATGGGGCGTCTACAGTTCGGGTGGATGTCTACAGTTGGGGTGGATGTCTACAGTTGGGGTGGATGTCTACAGCTGGGGTGGATGTCTACTGTCGGGGTGGGTATCTACAGTTGGGGTGGATGTCTACAGCTGAGGTGGATGTCTACAGTTGGAGTGGATGTCTACAGCTGAGGTGGATGTCTACAGCTGGGGTGGATGTCTACAGTTCGGGTGGATGTCTACAGTTAGGTCGGGTAGAGATGGAGGTCAGCAGTTGGGGTGGATGTCTACAGTTAGGACGGGTAGGGATGAAGATCAGCAGTTAGGGGTGGATGTCTACAGTTAGGTCGGGTAAGGATGAAGGTCCGCAGTACGGGTGGATGTCTACAGTTAGGTCGGGTAAGGATGAAGGTCAGCAGTTAGGGTGGATGTCTACAGTTGAGGTGAATGTCTACAGTTATGGTGGATGTCTATAGCTGGGGTGGATGTCTACAGTTCGGGTGGATGTCTGCAGTTAGGTCGGGTAGGGATGAAGGTCAGCAGTTGGGGTGGATGTCTACAGTTAGGTCGGGTAAGGATGAAGGTCAGCAGTTGGGGTGGATGTCTACAGTTAAGGACGGGTAAGGGTGAAGGTCAACAGTTGGGGTGGATGTCTACAGTTGGGGTGGATGTCTACAGTTAGTTGGGTAGGGATGAAGGTCAGCAGTTGGGGTGGATGTCTACAGTTAGGTCGGGTAAGGATGAAGGTCAGCAGTTGGGGTGGATGTCTACAGTTAGGACGGGTAAGGGTGAAGGTCAACAGTTGGGGTGGATGTCTACAGTTGGGGTGGATGTCTACAGTTGGGTAGGGATGAAGGTCAGCAATTGGCGTGGATGTCTACAGTTAGGTCGGGTAAGGATGAAGCTCAGCAGTTGGGGGTGGATGTCTACAGTTAGGTCGGGTAGGGATGAAGCTCAGCAGTTGGGGGTGGATGTCTACAGTTCGGGTGGATGTCTACAGTTAGGTCGGGTAGGGATGAAGGTCAGCAGTTGGGGTGGATGTCTACAGTTAGGTCGGGTAAGGATGAAGGTCAGCAGTTGGGGTGGATGTCTACAATAAGGACGGGTAAGGGTGAAGGTCAACAGTTGGGGTGGATGTCTACAGTTGGGGTGGATGTCTACAGTTAGTTGGGTAGGGATGAAGGTCAGCAGTTGAGGTGGATGTCTACAGTTAGGTCGGGTAAGGATGAAGGTCAGCAGTTGGGGCGGATGTCTACAGTTAGGACGGGTAAGGGTGAAGGTCAACAGTTGGGGTGGATGTCTACAGTTGGGGTGGATGTCTACAGTTAGTTGGGTAGGGATGAAGGTCAGCAATTGGCGTGGATGTCTACAGTTAGGTCGGGTAAGGATGAAGCTCAGCAGTTGGGGGTGGATGTCTACAGTTAGGTCGGGTAGGGATGAAGCTCAGCAGTTGGGGGTGGATGTCTACAGTTAGGTCGGGTAAGGATGAAGCTCAGCAGTTGGGGGTGGATGTCTACAGTTAGGTCGGGTAAGGATGAAGGTCAGCAATTGGCGTGGATGTCTACAGTTAGGTCGGGTAGGGATGAAGCTCAGCAGTTGGGGGTGGATGTCTACAGTTAGGTCGGGTAAGGATGAAGGTCAGCAGTTGGGGGTGGATGCCTACAGTTGGGGTGAATGTCTACAGTTATGGTGGATGTCTATAGCTGGGGTGGATGTCTACAGTTGGGGTGGATGTCTACAGTCGGTCGGGTTGGGTAGAAGGTCTACAGTTGAGTCGGGTTGGGTAGAAGGTCTACAGTTGAGTCGGGTTGGGTAGAAGGTCTACAGTTGGGGTGGATGTCTTCAGTTTAGGCAGGCATGGGGCGAATGTCCACAGTTCGAGTGGATCCTTACTGTATTCAAGGAACTCGTCTTTCATCAGTAGACTTTTCATTTACCTTCAGTGCAGCCGAAGATTACTGCGTGGTGCATGATGTTGACGTTGTCGAGGATGGGTTTGCTGGCAATGATGTGGTAGTCGGTGTCGTTGGGGATGGAGAAGATCTGACACATATAGGTAGTTTCTGCTGAAGGCACAGCAGTCCGGGGTAACGTCAGATCCATTTTCCTCACGTCTAGTTAGGAAAGGTTTGGCAGTGTTACTGAGAGAGTACCTAAATGTCACACAATCTTTAACTACATGCTATAGATATAAGATTTCGTTAAAGTGTGTTATATCATGGTGGTAATAGTCAGTCTGAAACCTGTTGAATTATAGACAAGTGAATGACGTTAAATCTATTATGTATATCATAGCAGTAAGTCCAAAGAGTGTTTTAGTACGGATACTACAAAAAGTCATCATCTTCTTGTCAGGTTTTATATAACAGGGTAGAGTATCATGCTTTCGAGTGTGAGGTAACATATACTGAGGGAAACAAATAAGGGAACACCACTTCCTGGCCTATATTTATTCTAAGATTTCATCACCACAGCTCTATTCAAAACTAGTGATGAAAACTGGAAAAATATTAAAGGAACACTTAACTTTACCTGTGTTCCTTTCTCTTTTTCTCTCAGTACATTACCATGGGGAAGAATGAGATAACACATTTTAACGAGTGGATGAGTTTAGTTTTACGCCGCACTCAGCAATTTTCCAACCATATTGCGGCGGTCTAATAACTAATCGAGTCTGGACCAGACAATCCAGTGATCAACAGTATGAGCATCGATCTACGCAATTGAGATTCGATGACGTGTGTCAACCAAGTCAGCGAACCTGACCACCCGATTCCGATAGTCGCCTCTTACGACAAGCCTGGGTTACTTCTAACCCGGATCTTCACGGGTCCACTTAACGAGACTGGCAACACTATCTATAACTGATCTCCTCCAGTACAATGAGATGGATACGTACTGACGTCATTGATGCCGTTGCACGTGAAGTCCGAATCCTGACAGGCCGTCAGTACCCAGCTCTCATCTCTGGCCAGACACTTGGGGTCGTTCCAAGGGTCACACACACCTGGGGATAGTGGACAGAATGGTGTGATAAGAACGGGTAGTGGAGAGAAGGAAGTAGTGAATGTGAGGTAAAGGTAGATAGAAATGACCAGGGGTTAGGAGGAGTAGGTAGCATAGGTAGTGGACAACAGAGACTTGTCGATAGAAGCGAGGAGTGGACAGAAGGCTGTGGATTGAAGCGGGGAGAGAAAAGAAGAGATGGATATGTGACCTCAAGTTTGTATTACTGCAATGCGTTGTTATCCAGAACAAGGCAGCTCGCATTGTTACAAGGACCAAACCTCGTGAGCATATCACGCCTGTTCTAAAAAAATTACATTGGCTCCCAGTTCGGCCTAGGGTGGTGTACAAAGTCTTATCACTGACCTACGCTGCTCTGCACAATGGTAAATCCCCCTCTCTACCTAAAGGACCTGATCCAGATGTATACACCAGGACGATATCTCCGATCTCAGAATGTGTACAATCTCTCGGTTCCCTCAACATCCACTAAACTTGCTGATCGTGCCTTCTCCAAAGTTGCCCTTACCTTGTGGAACAATCTACAGTTTGAACTCAAAACAGCAAGCTCTCACAAATCCTTCCAGAACTGTCTAAAAACTTTCCTGTTTAATCAAGCATATGATATGTAAATTATCTACCCTGTTCAGCGCCATTGAGCAGCTCAAAGTTGGAAAATAGGCGCTACACAAATTAATTATTATTATTATTATGGAAAGAACGGGTACTGCATAGAATGGGTGTAGGATCGTGGGATAGGATAAGAGGCGCGCGGAAAGGAGTGTCTGGAATGAAGTGGGAAATATCTAATCTATAAAAGGGCATTTAGAAGTCAAATGTATAAGAAAAGCAACATTTATGGACGTCATCTTTTTTATTGTGAATAAAACGACGTTTCGGAATGTTTTGCTTGCTCCTTCATTCACAATAAAGAAGTTGACAATCATAAATCTTGCTTGTCTTAAGTGGGAAGTAGATTGGCAACGGTGTCAGGATCTACAGCGAAACGGTCATGTCAACAGTTGAATAAACCGACACACAATAGGTACACTATGTTATGAATATCTGATTTTGGAAAAGATCAAATCGACAGAAATTATTTCATGCTTAAAATTTAGTACTTACTCACAATTATCTTTGGACATTTTTAAATTAATACATGATTCGACAATTACTTACTTCTCAAGTCATTACGTTTCTGTCAACAAATGATACGTGAAATCTTTATCCCTTTCCACTAAAGCACCTAGTTGCCCACCACTGTTTGCGTTGCGACACATGGCATTTAAATTATGAAGAGATTTCCGAACACAACACATAATTTTCAAATCGCACCAGAAACACACACTCTTATCACTATTATAGCAAGATAAATAAGTTATTACAAAACTATATTGAGAACAGCTGTTTACTGACAGAGTATAATGTTGGTGAATAGAAACGTTTTTCCCCAACATAAAAGGGAAATGTCGCGTAGTGCAAAAATATTTCAAAGCAGAATCGCAAATATCATATTCCATTTTATTTCTCTCTGTTCAATTAAGGAATAGTTACAAAGAATTACTTATCACTACCCCGTGTTATTTAATTTCCTGTCAATCATAATTAAAGTCGGTACGAACACCACGTTTTGAACCGGTCTGGTCCCACTTGCAAAAGAAGATTCAATTTCCATTGTAATGGCGACTGTATGTGACGTGGTGCAGTCGACTGGCCCACCAAGCAAATCCTCCAACAATGCTGTTATCGATGAATGGTCAAGTCTTTCGCATTTGTTTCCGGAGTTACTTTCCCCTTTCGCCCTTTCCAGTATATATACTCAAAGTCTCCCTTCAGCTAAGTTGTGTGACCCTTCTCACCCTCATCTGGTGGGGTAGCGATGTACCGATAGGGCTGCCAGTTTACCAAAACACAGAGTCCCTTTAATTACCTGTAATGGCCACATGTCGCACTCACCTGGTGGGGTAGCGATGTACCGATAGGGCTGCCAGTTTACCAAAACACAGAGTCCCTTTAATTACCTGTAATGGCCACATGTCGCACTCACCTGGTGGGGTAGCGATGTACCGATAGGGCTGCCAGTTTACCAAAACACAGAGTCCCTTTAATTACCTGTAATGGCCACATGTCGCACTCACCTGGTGGGGTAGCGATGTACCGATAGGGCTGCCAGTTTACCAAAACACAGAGTCCCTTTAATTACCTGCCATGGCCACATGTCGCACTCATCTGGTGGGGTAGCGATGTACCGATAGGGCTGCCAGTTTACCAAAACACAGAGTCCCTTTAATTACCTGTAATAGCCACATGTCGCACTCACCTGGATGGGACAGCGATGAACCCGAGGGGTTAGTCATTCCCTCGGACCATGTGCAGTTGGAGTCACCCAGTTCTTGACCGTTGGTCAATCCGTCACCATCGGAATCCTTCTCACACAACGCTCTTGTCCATATCTTGAGTCCATGAGAAAAACATTTTAGACGCTTCTTCAGTTTACTTTTTAAGGAATTCACAGTTTTCAACACTATGTAATGCTTAAACATGACGAGCGGAGCCAGTTTTATTCCCACCGAGTTTGTTAATATATTTCATGGGGAAAGTTGATCAGGGGAAGAACTGGACACGTATGTTATCGAGTCCTTTATGCTAGTTATATCAGACAAGAGTGCGGGTAAAATCTGTCACTCCTGCGTACTGGCTCAGGCATATTGTGCTGATATTTTGAATATTTGTTTATCTTATACAAACAAAATGTCTTGCAACCATACACTTATTTTTATAACAATGCTTTTGTTTCAGACACAAATAGTAACACGCGTAATACAAAATAAGAAGGTAAATAGGAAAGGTACTGAATCCAGCTTGCTAAAAAACATTGCATAAACTTTAACTTTTATTGTCTTTGACAGTAAAATTGTAAATTATTTCGTTTCCATAACAAGATACTTTATTAGATATGACACAACTTGATCTCACCCTGCCGCTGTCTGCAAAATCCTGTCCGAAGGTGTTCCTGGCCCCGCCCCCTGTCGCCAGTTTGTGCCCCACCCCTATCCACTTCTCCCCGGCTTTGCAGGGGCTGGGGACATTGTGGCCGTTGGGTATTTTATCTCGGTAGCTGCCGTACCCCGAGGCCGTGTGGAGTAGTGCCACGAGGAATAATGTCCATCTGCAAACAGGTAACATTATAAGTTGGTCACAGGCCCCTTCGGGCTCATCTAACATATACAAACATAAAGGGTACATCAACTCATGGGCCCAGAGGGACCAGTAAACAACGTGTTTATCTTAACGAACACCTCAGTGTTAATTTTGAACTGTTTGAAGAACGGGTACAGCATAGCCAAACCACAAAATCTAACAGACGACGAGAAAAACAAATGTATAGTTATCTCCCTTCCATCGATTTGCATTTGCGAAACATCGGTGAATTCAATATATCATACAGGATTCAATATTCGAGATAAAGAATACGAACACGAAGTACCAAATGAATTCCCAAAGTTCGGCATACTCAGCGAGTAACATAAAAAACGTTACTCGCTTGTAAGCGGGGTACATTGAAATTAATATAAGAGCGCTCAGCCAATCAGAAAATGTGTGAGGTAAAATAAAATAAAATGTACTGTCACCCTGACCCTGGCCTAGTCCTAATCAAGTCTAGAATGATTTGGCAAGTCTAGATTGCCACAGCTCGGGTGGGGATTGTTCTGGACTCCATCTGGATTTGTTTTGTATATAAATACTTTGTTTTTATATTTAAACATAGTAACTTTCTGAGACACATAAAGTATCCAGCTGGGTACAGGAAATACTATTGTCAATATTATAATCTAACTGCATTCATGCGGCGCTTGTTACGAAACCCTATGTTAGAACAAAGTAGCTGCAAACAAAAAACTCATGGCAGAGGTCAAGATTCACGACGCATGCGCAGATGCTCTGATCTGAAGGATTACGTTGTTTCGTAAAGGATCTTGACAGCTTGATTCACGATTTGCCGCTCATATATTGCATCCGATGATAAACATTCAAATCTGACTCCAGCGACTTTACTTGCAGTGTTAACAATTTTGTCTGTTTTAGATTTGAGAGAGACCCGTACCAACAATGGAAGGAAAATGTTAAATACTCTGAATAAATGCTACATAAAAAGATGACATCACAGATGGGTTAACATTAAAAGATCTCAGTTTACGCATGAGATGAAGACGTTGTTAACACTTTTTGTATAGAGCTCCAGTGTTAGAGTTCCAGTTCAGCTTAGAGTCAATGAAGGTTCCCAGATACTTATACTCCGACACTGTCTCAACACATTCACCGTTGATTATCACTGGAAACATTTCTGTGGGCTTAGAAAGTCAATTGATCAGTTCCTTTGGACATTTTCCCGCACACTAAGTCGTAAAATGATAATGTCCTCTTTATACAGTTCTTCAGAAGCACTGTCGCTCACATTCACCGTTGCTGCATCATCTGCGAATACACTGAACAGGTTGAATTCGAGCTTGCACAATCATTGGTGTAGAGGGTGAAAAGAACAGGAGATATTACACAGCCTTGTGGTGCACCAGTGTGGTGGCTTACTCGATACAGCCCCGTTAACTTTCACGAAAGTCAAGAAGTTTTCGATCACTTAGGTGTCTCTTTATTAAGGAGTTGTGCACAACAACTCCTCTCCTTTAAGCGAAGTGAAGCGGGTCCAGTATGTCGGCAACTTTCTGCGGAGATGTCAACAAGATGCGTTCGACTTAAAATAGATTAGCAACTGGCCTGTAGTTCTGATGTTTTCCATACCGAAGGAATAACGTGTGTATTCAATGAGTTGAAACTATCTAGTGAAGAAGTACACAGTTGAAGTCTGCACTCCTTCAACACAATGCCGCCAAGGTTTGTCCTTTTGCTTTTCTGATGTTAATTCTGGAGAAGCTTTGAATGACGCCAGCTTCTGTATGGATACGATACATGGGCGATCCATGACTTATACAGTTGACATTGGCTCCGCCAAGCAAAAAATCTTCAATTCTTAAGGCGTCCGAACCCCCTGAACTAACTAGTTATGGTCCGAAGCTGCTAGGGGTGGTTTACTATATGATTTGTAGGCGTTCATGATGTTACCATAACACAAATCAAGGATCGTGTCTTTCCGTGTACAACATGTTACATACTGATTGTAGGTGGGGAGCACAGACTTCAGGGTACATAGAAGCAAGAAATACTGTAATAAAAAAGTGTTCATCCATATATTCTTAAGCTCCCTTATCTAAGAATCGCTATCAAGCAGAGATGACACCGGGTGTTCGCCACAACACACCTGACACTCATACGAAGCCAGGGTAAGTATTATTCAGGATTAGTTTGGAAACGCAGGTCTGTGTTTACTACCCTTCAGATCCCAATCGCTGACAGACACATACCGGTTAAGTGTTTACTTTGAGCTATTTATACCTTGCCTTAACGTTACTTGGTGATCCGATATGACAAGCATTTTTTTTCATTCATTGTCTCAGTGGGGACAGACGAGGGGATGTTGGTGTCGGGGACGACTGTAACCCCATACTTCAACAAACATAGGACTACGGCGCCGGGTGTTTCGTGGTGATATACGATATGTTTCATTGTTTTACATGCTTCAGATTCGTAAATATTTCCTATCAGGGTATGTAGTACCATATTCTACTGGGTACATATTCTGGACTGGGTACTTTCTTTATCCATTCATAGAACCAATGTTTCTGCAATAAAAGGTGGGGTGGCCTAGTGTTTAAAACGTTGTCTCATCACACGAAGACCCGGGTTCAATTCCCTCATTTCTGGTGTTCCCCGCAGTGATATTGCTCAAACATTGCTGAAAACGCCGTAAAACTAAACTCACTCACTCTAGGATGTCTACATGAGCACATGGAAACAGAGAGGTTTGAGGATAGAGACAACATAACTGTGTCTGTGGTTGAACATTTGACAGTGTGGTAATACCTGGAGATTCTCAACCAAACGTTATATCCTGTTGAAGCTAGTTGGTAAAGTATATAGCCTGTATAAGCAATAGCAATAAAAACTGGATAAAATCTGTAGAAGCCGTTTTTAATGAAACTGGCTATAGCTTTTACTGGCTAAGTCAACAAGCTATCTTTCCCAATGAAAGTACATCTATTATCTCTTATCTATTACCTGATTTAGCAAAAATGGTGCGCAGAGATTTCGAATTCTTCTAAAGTTACCACTTATCGCGTATCTTATCGTCCAAACTGAACTTGTCCATGAAAAATATTTGACATATATCCCTTTCTCCCTGGCTCTTAAATTGTTTAGAACTTCCTACCATGGTTTACCTATATAGGTAGGTGACAAAAAATTACACCCGAAGAAAAAATGTGTAACCTCTGCGACACGTATGTTGTTGGCGATGAATTTCCTTACATTTTTCTCTGCCCTTTCTTCAAACATCATCGGAATACTAATATAGTAAAGCGATTGTGTCAAAAAACCCAATGTGTACAAACTTAACTAACTGTTTAACTGTAAACGAATTAGTGTATTTAAAAAAAAGTATGTATATTTGTAATAACATCATGAAAACTGTAAAATCATCTACGTAAACCATCCCGCGACCCTTTGTACACTTAGATGTCTAATTGTACCCCTTCTTGCGAGTTTCGGGCGCGGACTGACTGTTGTATAGTGGGGGGGTGACTGAGTTTTGGTTTTACGCCTTCGGGCGCGGAGGGGTAGCCTAGTAGTAAAGCTTTCGTTCGACCAGGGTTCGATTCCCCACATGGGTACAATGTGTGAAGCTCATTTCTGGTGTCCCCCGCCGTGATATTGCTGGAAAATTGCTAAAAGCCGCGTAAAACCAAACTCACTCACTCACTCACTCGGCCGAGTATCCCAGCTTTGGCGTAATAAAAGCTTTGTTCTGTTCTGTTCTGATGCGTCAACTGTTTTCACGTTGCGTGTCTGTTTCTACGCATATCGTATACATGCTCTAGTGTGTACGTTCACGAACAGTTCAGTCAGAAACGCAAAAAGCTATTGAGTATTGCGACACATTGAGCGTTTGTTGTGAAATGCGCTGAAGGGAGTCAAACGGTGCTCAAACCCTGTACCGAGTAGAATGTCACGGGACACCGACTTTGAAAGGATGTACTGACAGAGCCGAGAACCATAGCAGCAGCTGTGGGTTACTGCATTATTTTCAATGGGTTACTGCGTATAAAGGGCTTGTTGATTTGACATATACATGTATGTGTCTATAGGCACAGTTGTAGGTCATATTTACTTGAGCCAATAAACAGAACATATAGCCTACATGATTGTGTATTTGTAATATAAGGTAAAGAAATCCCCCAAAATGTAGGGAGGGGGATGTCTAAAAATATACACGAAACACGTCGATTCTGGTATCCACACACAGACAGAGACTTCATATGTCGTGCGTGTGTGCGTGCGCGTGTGTGTGTGACGTACGTTATGTATAAACTCCGTTGGTCTGATACACTATTGAGAAATGTCGGCCATGACGAAATCAGTCTTAAACTCCAAGCTGGTTTAGTACACTATTGTGAAATGTCGGCCATGACGAAACGGGTGGTACATTCCTCGCAGGGAGAATGTTTATGTTCATGATCAAACAGAACATCAATGGGTGTGGAATTAAATAATGAAAATGATTCAGCTCTTCTAAAGGGGCGTCAGCTCGAACACACATGTATTCAACAAGCAAAGTTGAAAAATTACTGTATGATGTCCCTTTGTTTAACATGGAGAGTAATGTACGTAGCGCCGTGAGCAGGCAATGTGCCTGGATATGAGCGCCAGATAATCGCACTATTGCTATTATTAATCAACCAACGAGGGGTTTGAAACAACGAATATTAACATTCTTCACAACCACCATCTCACTCTCATACATCACTCAGTCATGTATTCGGTGTACAGTCATGTATTCGGTGTACAGTCATGTATTCGGTGTACGGTCATGTATTCGGTGTACAGTCATGTATTCGGTGTACAGTCATGTATTCGGTGTACGGTCATGTATTCCGTGTACAGTCATGTATTCGGTGTACAGTCATGTATTCGGTATAGTGATGTATTCGGTGTACAGTCATGTATTCCGTGTACAGTGATGTATTCGGTGTACAGTCATGTATTTCGTGTACAGTGATGTATTCAGTGTAGAGTCATGTATTTCGTGGACAGTTATGTATTCCGTGTACAGTCATGTATTCGGTGTATGCTCATGTACTCATGTATTCCGTGTACAGTCATGTATTCCGTGTACAGTCATGTATTCGGTGTACAGTCATGTATTCCGTGTACAGTGATGTATTCGGTGTACAGTGATGCATTCGGTGTACAGTTATGTATTCCGTGTACAGTCATGTATTTGGTGTACAGTCATGTATTCGATGTACAGTTATGTATTCGGTGTACAGTCATGTATTCGGCATAGTGATGTATTCGATGTACAGTCATGTATTCCGTGTACAGTCATGTATTCGGTGTACAGTTATGTATTCCGTGTACAGTCATGTATTCCGTGTACAGTCATGTATTCGGTGTACAGTCATGTATTCGGTGTACGGTCATGTATTCGGTGTACAGTCATGTATTCGATGTACAGTTATGCATTCGGTGTACAGTTATGTATTCGGTATAGTGATGTATTCGATGTACAGTCAGGTATTCGATGTACAGTCATGTATTCGGTGTACACTCATGTATTCGGTGTACGGTCATGTATTCGATGTACAGTCATGTATTCGGTGAACGGTCATGAATTCGGTGTACAGTCATGTATTCGGTGACCGGTCATGTATTCGGTGTACAGTCATGTATTTGGTATATGTATTCGGTGTACAGTGATGTATTCGGTGTATAGTCATGTATTCGGTGTACAGTCATGTATTTGGTGTATGTCATGTATTCGGTGTACAGTCATGTATTCGGTGTACAGTCATGTATTCGGTGTACAGTTATTCGTGTGTCATGTATTCGGTGTACAGTCATGTATTATGTACGGTGTATGTATTCGGTGTACAGTCATGTATTCGGTGTGTAGTGTATTCGGTGTACAGTCATGTATTCGGTGTACAGTCATGTATTCGGTGTACGGTCATGTATTCGATGTACAGTCATGTATTCGGTGATCGGTCATGAATTCGGTGTACAGTCATGTATTCGGTGACCGGTCATGTATTCGGTGTACAGTCATGTATTTGGTATATGTATTCGGTGTACAGTGATGTATTCGGTGTATAGTCATGTATTCGGTGTACAGTCATGTATTTGGTGTATGTATTCGGTGTACAGTCATGTATTCGGTGTACAGTCATGTATTCGGTGTATGTATTCGGTGTACAGTCATGTATTCGGCATAGTGATGTATTCGATGTACAGTCATGTATTCCGTGTACAGTGATGCATTCGGTGTACAGTTATGTATTCCGTGTACAGTCATGTATTCCGTGTACAGTCATGTATTCCGTGTACACTCATGTATTCGGTGTACGGTCATGTATTCGATGTACAGTCATGTATTCGATGTACAGTTATGCATTCGGTGTACAGTCATGTATTCGGTATAGTGATGTATTCGATGTACAGTCAGGTATTCGATGTACAGTCATGTATTCGGTGTACACTCATGTATTCGGTGTACGGTCATGTATTCGATGTACAGTCATGTATTCGGTGAACGGTCATGAATTCGGTGTACAGTCATGTATTCGGTGACCGGTCATGTATTCGGTGTACAGTCATGTATTTGGTATATGTATTCGGTGTACAGTGATGTATTCGGTGTATAGTCATGTATTCGGTGTACAGTCATGTATTTGGTGTTTGTATTCGGTGTACAGTCATGTATTCGGTGTACAGTCATGTATTCGGTGTATGTATTCGGTGTACAGTCATGTATTCGGTGTATGTATTCGGTGTACAGTCATGTATTCGGTGATCGGTCATGTATTCGGTGTACAGTCATGTATTCCGTGTACAGTTATGTATTCGGTGTACAGTCATGTATTCGGTGTACAGTCATGTATTCGGTGTACAGTC